AGCGAAGCTTTGCTCATGTTACTGCCTGAGCTCTGTGCTCCTGTCTCTTCCCCCACCTTGTCTGTGGAAAAATTGTCTTCCACGAAACCAGTCCCTATACTATCCTCATTTTGATGGGGGGGGGGGATTATTTTTTCTTTTTACTGTACTGATTGGGTGTTTTCGGCTTTCTTATCTTCCAAATCAATAATTTCATCTTCTGCTTCATCTACCCCATTGTCCATTCTCTGTAATGTATTCTTCATTTCTGACTGGTTGTTTTATGTTTTCTGTGTTTCCTACATTTTTGTTGAAGTTCTCACTGACTTCATTACTCTTCCCCTGAGTTCACTGAGCATCCTTCACAAGTGTTTTGAACTCTGCATCTGATAGATTGCTTGTATCCATTTTTTTCTTTTTCTGGACTTTTGTTCTGTTCTTTCATTTGGGACATGTTTATTTGTCTCTTCAGTTTGGCTTCCTCCCTGTGTTTGTCTGTATGTATTTGGTAGTGCTGCTCTGTATCCCGATATTGGTAGAGTAGCCTTGTACAGTAGGTGCCCTGTGGGGCCCTGTGATGCAGTCTCCCCAGTCACCCAAGATGGGTGTTTCAGGTGTACCTCCCGTGTGAGCTGTGTGCACCCTCTTGTTGTAGTTGAGCTTTGACTGCTGTTGGCACGCCAGTGGAAGGAATTTACTCCCAGGCTGATTGGTGAGGACTGGCTACAACCACCATGAAGGATCTGCTGTGCAGTGGCTGATCCCACAGAGCAGGACGCATGTCAGTGGTGTTCTAGTACCTGCTGAGTTTGCCCCTTGAGTGTGTTGTTTGTAGAGGTGGTTGAGTGGTGGGTGCTTCAGCATGGTCTGAAACTGTCTACCAGGTGCAGTAGCACTGGGGTCTCCTGAATGGTGCAGGCCAATGTCAGCCAATGCCTGTGTCTGCCCAGTGTTCCTGTCATGACTACAGAGTGATCTGCAGATGACTGTTACTTATGCTGGCCTTGAAGGTGCCTGGGATAGGCCAAGCTATGAACGAAAGCTGGCTGTCACTAGTGCCAAACCTGGAGCCACTTAGCAAGAGATATGGGGCATGCCAAGGCCATATGCTGCTTGTTTGAGAGATTTTAGGAAAGTCCACAGCTTGAGACAAGACAGGCCCTTTATATGGAAAAGCCACTGGAAGGGGCTTGGATGGGCTCATGCATTGGGTGGGGTCAGGTCTCAGGGAATCACCAGGGTGGGGTAAGCGGTGTTAACCAGGTGATGGAGACTCAGATATAGTGCCTGCCTGCCAGCTTTGTTGGGGGGAAGAGCTTAGCAAAGGAACATGGCCTCTGCCAGCACTCCTGTCTGGGGGAAAGCTGCCCCTCCAGCCCCTCACCTTGATGCCAGATAATTCATTTCCTCCCTGTATGTCTCTAGGGTTTTCTGAGCTGCTGCCCCAGCACTGGAGCTGAGGGCAAGTGAGTCCAAGTGGTGGGACCTCTTCAATAAGGACCTGGGCAACCGAGATACCCTTCTCAATCTTTAACTGCTGACGTAGTGGTGGGACCAGCCCATTTCGCCTCTCTGCTCCTCCTCCTGTCTCAGTGTGGCTTCTTTATATCTGTAGTTATTGCAGTTTTCTGCAGCTTAATTTCAGGTGGTTCTTTTTATTAAGTATATTTTATTGATTATGCTATTACAGTTGTCCCATTTTTTCCTCCCTTTTATCCCCCTCTTCCCTGCAACTCCCTTCCTACAGCATGCTCCCCCCTCCTTAGTTCATGTTCATGGGTTGTACATATAAGTTCTTTGGCTTCATTTCCTATACTGTTATTAACCTCCCCCTGTCTATTTTGTACCTACTATTTATGCTTCTTATTCCCTGTACCTTCTCCCATATTCTCCCCCCTCCCCGCCCCACTGATAACCCTCTGTGTGATCTCCATTTTTGTGATGATGAACTCCTTTAACTTAACCTTATCTGGGAAGCACTTTATCTGCCCTTCCATTCTAAATGGTAGCTTTGCTCGATAGAGTAATCTTGGATGTAGGTCCTTGCCTTTCATGACTTTGAATACCTCTTTTTAGCCCTTTCTTGCCTGTAAGGTTTCTTTTGAGAAAGCAGCTGATAGTCTGATGGGAACTCCTTTGTAGGTAATTGTCTCCTTTCCTGTTGCTGCTTTTAAGATTCTTTCCTTATCTTTAATCTTGGGTAATTTAATTATGATAGGTCTTGGAGTGTTTCTTCTTGGACCCAACTTCTTTGGGACTCCTGATCACCCTGGACTTGCAAGTCTAGTTCCTTTGCCAGATTAGGGAAGTTTTCCTTCATTATTTGTTCAGATAAGTTTTCAACTTCTTGCTCTTCCTCTTCTCCTTCTGGCACCCCTATGATTCGGTTGTTGGAATGTTTAAAGTTGTCTCAGAGGTTCCTAAGCCTCTCCTCATTGTTTGAATTCTTGTTTCTTCATTGTGTTCCAGTTGGATGTTTATTTCTTCCTTTTGTTCCAAATTGTTGATTTGAGACCCAGTTTCCTTCACTTCACTGTTGGTTCCCCGTGTATTTCCCTTTATTTCACTCTGTATAGCCTTCATTTCTTCCTTTATTTTGTGACTGAACTTACTCATTTTCTGTGAGCATCCTGATTACCAGTATTGTGAACTCTGCATCTGATAGGTTGTCTATCTCCTTGTCACTTAGTTCTTTTTCTGGAGTTTTGATCTGTTCTTTCATTTGGGTCACATCTCTTTATCTTGGTGCACCTGTTACGTAGCAAGGGACAGAGCCTTAGTTATTTGCCAGGGTGGGGCAATCCATTTTGCTGCATTGTGGTGCTTTATGAGGGGGAGGGCCAGAGGGGGAACAGTGCCGCTTGCTCTCTCGTTCGGCTCTCACCCCACTTTCCAGTCACTTCTCTTATATCCCACAAGTGGATCATGCCCTTTCAGGTGCTGATTCCCGGGTGGGTGGGTTTGTGTACATTCTAGGACCCTGTAGGCCTCTCCAGTGGACTCTTCTATGAAACCAGAAGTTTCTTCCGCCACTGAAACCCCCACAGATTTATACAGCCAGAGGTTTTGAGGCTTTATTTCCCCATGCTGGAACTCTAGGTTGTGGGGTTTGCCTCACTCCCCAGTTGTTCCTCCCAGCTTATCTGCACGCAAATGTGGGATATCCCGGTCCGGCAGCTGGTACCTCACCCACCCAGTCCACCAGCCACTGCCTCTCCACACATCCTCTCCACCCTGGCTTCCCATCTCCGCCCCTCCTACCAATCTGGTCGAATGTTTTTCTTTAACTCCTTGGTTCTCAGACTGCCATGCAGTTTGATTTTCTGTCAGTTCTGGTTGTTTTTTTTTTTAATTGGTTGTTATCCTTCTTTTGGTTGTGCAAGGAAGTGAAGCATATCTACCTACGTCTCCATCTTGGCCAGAACTTCAGGTGGTTCTGAATGATGGTTGTTCTGCAGTTTAGTTGTAATTTTGATGTGGTTGTGGAAGGATTTGAGTCCTGCAGGTACCTGTGCCGACATCTTGACTGGAAGCTCTCTGCTGGTGTTTGTAAAGCACTTGCAGCAAATGGATGGTTAGTGATTTTACTTTATGAAAGCATCTTGAAAGTGGTTAGTTGTCTTTGACAAAAAATAATTGAACTGTAATTTCCTTATCAATAAAAGTAGTTGCTTCCAAATACATACTGTTTCTGAGAGTCACAGAAAGTGGCTGGGCTTCTTATGTGATTTCTTTGTGTACCCCGTAGTGTTTTGGAGACTTAGAGGTAAACAGTCAGTAAATCATTATGGTGCACTACACATGTGCGAAGTAACCCCATCTCGACTAACAGGAACTTAAAGCAGAGTCAGAGAGTCCAAACTTGGAGATGTAGTTCCACACTCAGCTGGTTGCATTCCAGACATTATTCCCAATACAACAGATCGCAAGTCTGAGCCACAGGCCCCAATCTGGCCAGCTTCTCAGACAACACGTGTGTGAAGGTATACTGTGTTTCCTTGGACTACCTTTGCTTCAAGAGGATTTGCTCTTACAAGAGCTCAGGGAGGCCTGTGGTTTTCATCAGTGATCTCTCATCCCTTTCACTTTCTTATTCAGCCCCCTTTGCCGAGGGCTTCTGTCCCACTGCTGCCAGGCTCCATCCCAGAGTCTGATTGATACTGTATGAGATGGCCACATTCTGTTTGACTTCACAGAGTGGCATCTTTGTTTCTTGTAGTCTGTAGTGAAGGTTCAGTGGCCAGGAAGAGAGAAAAGGAACCTTCTCTCTCAATCCCAGCAGGCAGTGGGTTAGTACTGTGGCCAGCTGTTTCTTTAGGGAAAGAGAGGCTGCTAAAGAAAGGCATATTTGTGTGTACATACAGGGATGGGCAAAACTAGGCAAGGACTCTGCACTGATGTGTGCTTGAGTATAGCAAGCAGACGACAAGAATGTGTAAATAATGAGGGCTGGCAATTGGAACATTTAGCGAGATTGGACCTATGTGCACTGTGCCATTGTGACATTCTTTTGAGTTAATGAAGCTGTTGTGGTGATCACAACCCGCATGCCTTTTTCCACACAAACAACCACAAACCTACTTTTGCCTACCCCGGTATATTCTAGAAGTCAGGTATTTGTAACTATAGGAGTAGCCTGACAAGATGTAAAGAGAGGCAAGATGTACACTTCAGGGTGATGTGTAACCAGTCTGAACAAACGAGCAGCAAAGGAGATCTCGGGCCTCTCTCCACTCTGCTTAGGGCACTCTTTTCATTTTCATTTGATTCCCTGGGAAGAAGCACCCTCTTCTCATGGGCGGGAGAGGGTAAATAATTTTGCGTGGGCCTATGTGATGTTCCTCCCTGGGAACAGTTGTTTAAACAAGCAGTGACTTGAGGGGGAGTTTTCTCTTTGCCTAGTTTCATTTTGTTTATCACGATGTTGCCGTGTTTGAGGGGTTGAGAAATTCCACCCTTCCAGTCATCAAGTTGGAGGTCCTTATTGACACATTGTTCCATTCATTTTCTATTAAATGTAGGCACAGGTTCAGAAGACTAAAGACCTGCTGAATAACGTGGCCTCTGACGAAGCTAATTTAGAAGCCAAAATTGAAAAGCGGAAATTAGAACTGGAAAGAAACCGGAAGCGACTCCAGACTCTGCAGAGTGTCAGGTAGATATGAACAACTGAAGAATGAATAGAAAGCTGTCTGTGTAAGTTCAAAGGGACTGAGAGAATATATTGTCAGTGATATTAGCCCTTTAAGCAGTGGAGGAAGCTTTGCATAAGACTTCAGAATGTACGGGTGTTGCTTGTTCAAACAGTCGCACCACTAAACTCATTCTCTTTATTGCTTTCAATGTGTCTGGAAAACTGTTTAATTTTTGAACTTCTACTCAGCTTTTATAGCTTCTCGGAACTCAAGGAAAAGTAAGTAAATCCAGATGGTAAAAGTTGTACAAGACTTGGTCTCCTAAGATCTGGCATTGCCATAAATTAGGTGGAAACAGAAACATATTTCTATTTCTTAGTTTAAATAGATGTTAGACTTTTATTTCCTCACCAGTAGTTCTTCTTTCTTCTGGCTTTCCCTCACTGAAAGTATGTTTTCCAGGGAGTGCGGATAGATAGTGGTGCAAAACACCTTGTAGGTCACTGGAGCCTTTCAGTCGTGTTCCTCTTCTTTTCTTGGATCTCTCTCTCTTTCCCTCCTTTCCCCTACCTCCCCCTTCCCTCTTGTTCTGTACCCTCCTTCCTTTGCTGTTTTTTGTTGTTCTTTCTCTCATGCCGTAACTCTTTCTCCCTTTTCAGTCTCCTTTTATTTTTCTCTCTTTACTCTTTCCCCTGTCCAGCAGCTGTATGTCTTCTAAATGTATCTCGCTCTTTTGAAATGCTGGTGACTGGCCCACAGTCTGGCTACTGTCGTGAGATCTGTGGGAGCACCCGGGGACAGCAGCCAGTTACTCAGGGAGCAGCACGGCTTCCTCCCAGCCAAGGGACCACACCCCTGCCTCTAGAATCAGGGCCACCAGATAGATTTCTCTCATTAATGAGTTCTGCCATTCAAGTGTAAAATCATTTTTTGTTAAACCTGAAATCCTTTTAATAGAAAAGTTTCTGTGTTTTGCTTTAGTACAGAAGATTATAAAATTGTTTTTTAGTTTATCTGTTCATAGTTTTAAAAGAATAGAGTTTTCCCTTTTATTAAAAGAAAAAAGTAATTTAGCAAACCAGTTGAAATTGCTTTTTATGTTATGGTTTTGGCTTTCAATCTTACATTGTTTAAAAACTTAGCTTTAATTTGTAGCAACCTCTATTGCCCTTTGTAGGGGGCTGGTTAAATTTTGGAACATCCACACAGCAGAGTGTTGTGCCCAACTAACATAATGCGTAGACTGTGAGAGCTCTGTGTGGTATGTGCCAATTTTTAAATCCTTATTGAAATCTGTGGCATATTGAGTGAGGAAAAAGATTGCAGAACTTTGTTTAAGGCAGTGATTTCCAACCTTTTTCATCTCATGGCACAAATTAATTACTAAAATTCTGTGTCACACCAAAAACTATATTTTTTGCTGATCTGACAAAAATAGGTATAATTTCGATTCATTCACACTGAAAGACTACTGTTGTGTTGATGGTTGTCACTTTTTATTTGACAATCTACGGGAAAAGATGTTGGTGCCCCGACTCAATAGTCAGGTGTTGCGTGGTTTAAAATTTCTTGTGGTACACCACTGTGCCATGACACACTGGTTGAAAATCACTGATTTAAGGTAATATACTTAATGTATGTTAAAAAATGCATTTTTGTATGTATGTATATATAGAAAAGTCTGGAAGGAAGTATGTCAAGTACTAAGTGCTTATACTTGGTAATGGGATTGTGAATAATTTTTACTTTATTCTTCATACTGTCAGCCATTATTTGAAGTTTTTACAAAAATCACATCTTTTAGATTAAGACATGTATTTCCATTTTGGGGAGAAGGAATAGAAAAGGGGAAATTAGCTTCAAGTAGTTAGAGTGAAGCACCTTCACCAGGATGGAATATGAAACTCTGAATACCAATTTCAAACTACTGTATATTGATTAATCTTCCACTTTTTATTTCTTTTGATCACTCTAGGCCAGCCTTTATGGACGAATATGAGAAGATTGAGGAAGAATTGCAAAAGCAGTATGACATTTATCTGGAAAAATTTCGAAATCTGGCTTATCTGGAGCAACAGCTTGAGGATCATCACAGGATGGAGCAAGAGAGGTTTGAAGTAAGTGTGTAACCAGTTCTTCTCCACAGACCGTTCCTTCTGGCGTGTTACTTTTTACCTATTAACAAGTCAATTTGATAATATCATTGTAAAAAAAATCAATGAATGTTTGATATTAGTTTATCAAACTAATCTTCAATATTTGTTTTTAATCAGGGTTTGGTCCATTAGGACTCTAGACAGGGCTAACCTGTGACCCGTGCAGCCACACAGGACTTTGAGCTTAGGAGAATCTGTGCTTGCTTTAATGTTTTACTGTCGCCATCTTGAAAGCTTTAATAATTTTTAAAAAGATTTTAGTTACTAATTTTAGAGAGGGGGAAGGGAGGGAAACATCAATCAATTGGCTCTTGTATGCCCCCAACTGGGGATCTGACCTGCATCCCAGGAGTGTGCCCTGACTGGAAATCCAACTAGCAACCTTTCGGTTCACAAGCCAGCGCTCAGTCCACTGAGCTACACCAGTCAGGGCTGAAATGCTTAATAATTTTTTAATTGCATTATATTTTGCGCTGAGTCCCACAAATTATGTAACTGTTTTTGAGTCTAAAACATGGTTAGTCAGTTCACTTAAGGATTTTTCAAGCCCTGGTTAATTGAATTACCTGAACTAGCTTATCAGAGAATGCATTATAAAGAGGAATTGTAGTTTATTCATTTTTCTGGGAAATATGTATGGCCCTGAACCTGACCAGTTGTCTTACAGGTTCCTTTCATCCCAGTGTTTAAGGCCATGTAGGAAGGAGTATTTCCGATCCCAGCGTGACTTGAGAAATACGGAATTCAGAGCAAAGAGAGTTGAATCAGGTTGCTCTCACTTTTCAAAATTGCCCTTATCCCTTAGGGATATTACTGTTTAAGCTAAGAATAGTCATGTAGAATCTATATTTATGGTGAAATCGGTCTACTCTCTTTCTTACACTGTCCCTGACAGCTTTGGGGATAAAGGTTATGCTAGCTTTCTTACAAAGCTGGGTGTTTGAATTAGATAATACTCTTTTGCCATCCATGAGGGCTGACTGGGAGTAAATATCACATTCATGTGGACACATGTATCTTGATGAGTATCCTGTTGCCAAAATTACTGTATGGCAGAGGCAGACCTTGGAGGAACAGGGTATAGGACAGGCACATTTTGAGAGCAGTGGAGAGAGCCTGGAGTTCAGGACATTTTAAACATTGGGTGCCTGGGAAAGAACGATAAAGGGCCAGTGAAAATGAACTGACCATTTTATACTGTTGTCTGGGGCCACATCTGGGTTCAGAGAACACACCGAAGACCATGCCTCAGCCTGTGTGTTCTTCCTTCCACAGGTACCCACCCTCTTTTTCTCCCATGGTCATACCTGCTCTCTGTGCTGCTAATGCCTGATCCCTCAAAATATCTTGTGCATGAAACACAATGCTTTCTTTTTAATGTTTATAGCGACACAAATTTTTAAAGCCTAATTTCTTCTCCCATTTTCTGTTTTGACAGTAATCAGGGCCACATTTTATAATCTAACTGAAATGCTAGCTTTTTTTTTTAATCCTCTAGGTGGTAAAACTGATATTTACTTCTTTTCCTGATCAGTCCCACCAGTTGGCATCTTTCAGGGCTGGAATTGTGCGGGACATAACAGTAATAAAACTCATGCTTTGTTCTTTTCAGAACAAGAGGCCTATAGTGCCCATAGTTGATGCATCTGTATAGGCAAACACGATGAGTATTTCTGTATCGTTCAGTTTTCTTTGGAGGCATTGAGGTGTAGTGGGGGGAGCATGGACTGGGGGGCCAGTAAGGCTCATCTTGAGTCAGTTGTGTCCCTTCTGAGACCCTCCTTTTCCATAGGGTTGCTGGCTGATCATAGAGAAAGATGCTGTCAGGTTTCCCAACTATAGTAGTATCTCAGGCACTGTTAGTTCCCTTCCCATCCCTTTACTTCAGATTTCTTTTTCTGGTTCTATGTCACAAACTCAGCAGTGCTTACTCAAATGGCAAAGAATAATAAAATGTCCAAGCAAGGGTCATCTCTTCTGTATCTTGTTCCTGTTCCACAGGAAGCTGAAAATACTCTTCGTCTGATGCAGAACAAACTGAAGGAAGAAGAAAAGAGACTGCTCAAGAGTGGAAGTAAGGCTGTACTTTTTAAATAGCTGTGTTTATTCTGGAGTAGCATTTTTAGCATTGAAAATTTTATATGCATATTTTATTTTCAAAAGTCAATTTTCTCTCAACTTTAATATCAGGTACCATTTTAATTCAGTCAAGAACTCAAGAGACTAGATTAAATTACAGAGTATTTACAGCACATTTGGTTTTTATGCCGACTAAAATAGTGTTTTTCTCTGCTTAATGATAGTTTGAATTATATATAACATATATAATTATAAAAGAAAATTTTGTCTTGGAGGTCTGTAGACTTCCTTATTTTAGGGCAGACTGATGGAAAATGGGCACCATAATGCAGTGCAAGTGAATAGGTCACTTACTGAAAGCTAGTCCCCCCACCACACACACCCATCTTCTGCAGAGCTATCACCTATAGAGAAGTAGGAGTTACTTACATATAAGATCTAGATTGTGGGAAAGAAATCTTCATGACTGGTTAGCACACTTCATCTGTGAACTTCACTGAGGTGTGAAGTCAGCCCCGGGACTGTAGCAGCGTGTGATCTTCTTGCAGAATTGATGGCTTTGTCTCATAGAGTTACTTTTCCTTTTGCTCTTTTTTCATGATGATAGTTTTATTCTCCCCTGCTTGAAGGTAGTATGCCTGGGACACCAGGCATGCTCTCTCTTGTCTTTTCCCTTTGTACCTCTCTCCTTTTGTACTCGTTCTGTGCCTTTCCTGAATTTCACAAAACCCTGAAAGGAGAATAAGAACTGCTGGGAAATCCTCTTGGGGTAAGGTTAGGAAATTCCAAGGGCCTCTCTAGCCAAAGCAGCCCCTCGCCTTTATGGTTCCAGGTCAGCCAGGAGAACCCGAAGCTGCCCTAAGTGATAAGCCTGCATGGAGTGTATGCCCTCCTGGGAGGCCTGGCACAGGTAAGAGCTCTAGTTGGTTGGCTGCCTCCTGCCCCGCCCCAGGCCAGCACGTTAAGTCCTTTCTCACTGACCTTGCTTTATTCTTCTGAACCCAGACTTTCACTTTGTGATCCATAGGTTTGGGGTCTCATAAAGGACAAAGATTCTTAGAAGGATGTGTGATTAAATTTTTTCAGAAGAATTTCCAGTATAAACCAACTTAATGAAGGATAGCACTTAATTAGCTTGGAGTGAAGAGAGAAGTTAGGAAAATACTGGGTTGGCCAAAAGCCTGTTTAGTTTTTTCAATAAAATAAAAGACACATTTTTCCTTTTCACCAATAACTGCATTGATTTGGATATTCTGAGTATGTTGGCTGTCTCCCTGTTGATTGTCCTCAGTTCATGTCTCTATTTGATTGCTGTCAACTTCAACTGGTCTACCTGACCGTGGAGCATCATCCACCAAGAAATCTCCAGCACAGAACTTTGTAAACTACTTTTGACATGTTCAATCAGTCACAGCACCTTCTCCATACACTGCACAAATATTTTTATTTCAGTTGTGTTTTTACCTTTCTTGAAATAATAGAGCATAATATACCAAAAATGTTGCATATTTTCTTCCATATTCAGTAGTAAAATGGCTACACAAAAATTCACCAATTTTGATACTTTTTTTTAATGCATGGTGATATATCAGCTGTCATAATGCAGTCTAATAAAATCATTTCAAATGAAGTTGAAGACAAGTAAGCATTACTAGAGTCATCTTACAGAAAAAAAAAAGAAACAAACGAACTTTTTGGCCAATCCAACATTTATAAAGGACCATTCTCATTTTTTCTCATCCTCACATTCTTAAGATGGACTCTCTTTCTTTACTTCTCTGCACATGTGAGAACATTGCCCAGAGTATTGGATCAGGGAGATGTATAAAGGAAGACTGAATTTTTCTCCATCTGAGAAAGATTCCTCCAAACACAAAAATCTGATAGTACATAGACATAAATCAGGAGCAAGAATTAGTAAAGTCTAAGAGCTTGAAGAGATCATCTTGCTCAGGCCACTCTTCAGGCAGCTGTCTCAGCATAGCAAAGCATTGTTAAGTATCTGTTCTGGGTGCTGAGGGTGCACGAGTGGACAAAAGAGAGGAATCCTTGCCCCAGTCCATCTTGCATGCTAGCAACATGCTAACATGCTAGGAGATAAGTAATAAGCAGGCTATATGTGGAAGGAGAAAAATGTCATGGGGAGCAGGTAAGAGGGAGGAATGAAGAAAGTGTGACAGGATTGCATTTTTAAATGGGGGTTAGGGTAGACCTCACTGAGGAGGTGCTGTTTCACTGAAGACTGAATCAGTAGAGCTGGGGAAAAGGAGATACCAGATAAGGAAAACCCTAGAAAGACTGGGACCCAGAGTCTAGGTGAAGGGATGAGTTTCACTGAGGAAATGTGTGAACACCAAGGACTTAAATTCAGGCAAGTTAGAGGAGTTAGAAGGTGTAATGTGTTCAAGGGGCTCATCCCTGATCCATGATGCCCTTTGTTAAGCAGGAGGTGGTCATCTTGGATTTGGTTTTGGTGGTCTAGAGTAAGGGACTTGAGGAAGAGAGAGTCTGAGTGATTAGAGATGGGAGAATGCCATAGGGCCCCAGAGATTAAAAAAGGCAATGTAATTTGTTCAGATACCGTGTAACAGAAGTAAAGGGCAACTTTTCATTTTTCCCACCATCTTTTTAAACCTTACTACTGGTGGTAAATTTATAACTGTAACCCCAGTAGGATTCTTTACTGTATGTAGCATTAGGAACTTAGAGTCCTCCAAATTTATAAAATGGCTCAGAAATTTCTACAAAGCACTTGAGTAACTGAATGGTATTCCCAGACCCAATTCCTGTGTGTGTGTGTGTGTGTGTGTGTGTGTAGGCTTCTCCACACCAAGCAATTTTTGGACACCAGCAAGGTGTCCAAGAATTCAGCTCAGTTCTGATACTGGCTACCAAGAGAGAGGATCAGATTCCAGGGATAAAGAAAGGGCTTAGTGCCACAAGATCACCCTCCACTTCAGATGCCACATCGATACTTGTGTTTCTGACTGGCTAGGAATCAGAGGTTCCTACAGCCCCCTCCATGGGTTTGATTAATGTGCTAGAGAGGCTCACGGGAAAACCTGTTTACTCACTAGATTATGGATGCATTGCAAAGGATATTAAAAGGTATGAATCAACAGCCAGTGAAGAGATACACAGGGCAAAGTCTCGAACAGGAGGTTCTGTCCTTTTTGACCTTGGGCAGCACATGGAAGCTCTCCAAAAAAGACCAACAGGATATATTCTCTTTGGGTTTTTATAGAGGCTTCATTGTGTAGTCATGATTGTCTAAATCGTTGGTGGCTGGCGATTGATTCAACCTCAAGCCCCTCTCCCTTCCCCAGAAATCAGGATTGAAAGTTCCAATTCTCTAACCATATGGTTGGTTCTTACAGGCAGCCAGGCTCCACCCTGGGCGAGATCCAAAAGTCACCTCATTAGCATAACAAGAGAGACCATTGTTGCTCCCATCATCTTAAAAAGTCCTTAGGGTTTGAGAGCTCTGTGCCAGAAACAGGGATGGAGACCAAATGTACATTTCTTACTATAAATCACAGTGTCACAACAGCCTGGCTGTGATTCTGTTTTTATGGTGTAATGGAGAACAGATGTTTGTGCATTTAATGTATACAGGGTCAGGCAAAAGTGGGTGTACAGTTGTGAATACTCAAAACAGAGTTTATTCTTATGTTATTATGTATTAATTATTGCATTATTTTCCATATGAACAGCTGTAAACCTACTTTTGCTCCAGACTGTATTCACTGCATGCCTGCACTGTGTCAAGCCCTGTGCCAGCCCACAGTGATGGACGAGGCACTTGGGCAACCCTGAGTCTAGGACTGCACTACCCACTACCTCGCTGTCAGCACGTGTGGTCTTGAGCACTTGAAATGTGACTAGTCCGAATTGAGGTGTGCTGTTTGTGGAGAGTATACACCAGATTTTGGAGACTTAGTATGAAAGAAAAGTAAAATGACTCTTTAATAATTTTTTACATTGGTTACGTATTGAAGTGACATTTTAGATATATTGGATCAAATAAAACATTGAAATTAACTCACCGGTTTCTTTTTACTTGACTGTAGTTACGAGAAAGTTTAAAATTAAATCTATTGCTGGCATTATATCTCTGTTGGACAGTGCTGATCTAAAAGGAGAAACTTAAAAAGAAACTGCCTGTAGTTTAAGTGGTGTAAAGTGGTATCTCATTGTGGTTTTGATTTGAATTTCTCTTGATAGCTAATGAACTGAAACATCTTTTCATGTGCTTGTTGGCTGTTTGTGTGTCTTCTTGGGAGAGATATCCAAGTCCTTTGCATATTTTTTAAATTGGGTTGTCTTTTTATTGAGTTGTAGAAGTTCTTTATATATTCTGGGCACTAGAATATATAAAGTATTTTATAAATGATTTAAGTGATTTGAAAATATTTTCTTATTCTTTAGGCTGTGTTTTCACTTTTTTTCATGTTCTTTGCTGTACAAAGTTTTAATGAAGTCTAATTTGTCCATTTTGGGGGGATTGCTTATGCTTTTAGTGTCATATCTGAGTGAGAAGTCCCTGCCTGATTCAGGGTCACCAAGATCGACTCCTGTGTTTTCTTTTAGGAGTGTTATAGTATAACTATTATATTTAGGTTTCTGATCCATATTAAGTTAATTTTTATTTATGATGTGAGGTAAGGATCCAACTTCATTCTTTTGCATGTGGCTATCCAGTTGTCCCAGCACCATTTGTTGGAAAGACTATTCCTTCCCCATTGAATTTTACCAGCACCGTTGTCTACTGTACGTAATTTTAGCATGTCACTGACAGTTCCGTGATTTCAGTGTCAGCGTGCATTTACTTACCTATGGGGTTGGCCAAAAAGTTTGTGGGGTTTTTTTTTTGTTTGTTTGTTTTCTAAAGTAAAAGACATATTTTTCATTTTTCACCAACAACTTGATTGATTTGGATATTCTGAGTATGTTGGCTATCTACTGCATGTATAATGTTGATTCTTCTCAATTAGTGTCTTGATTTGATCTCTATCAACTTCAACTGCTCTACCCAGACATTGACCAGTGAGAAATCTCCAGCACAAAACTTTGCAAACCAATTTGACACATTCAATCAGTCACAGCACCTTTTCTATATACTGCACAAATCTTTTTTGCATTTGACCTTTCTTGAAATAATAAAGCATAATATGCCGAAAATGTTGCATTTTTCTTCCATCTTCAATATTAAAATGGCTACATGAAAATTCACCAATTTTGATATTTTTTTTAAATGCACACTGATATGACAGCTGTCATAATACAATCTAACAAAATTGCTTTGAATGGAGTTAAAGACAGCTAAGAGCTACCAGAGGCATCTTAAGGGGGGAAAAAAAACAAACACACTTTTTGGCCAACACAATACTTAGTCCTCAGTGTATTGCTTTTGAGTTGTCAGAAGAAATCATGCTGAGCCTGAGATATCTGTATTAATATACTTTTGAAATTCATGATATCATTTGATTTATGTTGCATTTGTTATGGACTTAATGTCATAATTTTCCTGGGTGAAGTAAAAAGTGAACTAAGCTAAACAGTGATTTCATTTTATAGTCATTAACTTGCATTAATATTTAATCATATTCTCTATAAGGCCTTTTGTACGGTGGTAATTTTCAGATCAAATGTGTTGAAGTCTTGCAAGATTCTGCTGTTGACACTCTCCGGCTCCCAGGTTTGCCCTCTGTGCTGTGGAGCACAGCTCTTCTCTCCGTGGCTAAAGAAGGCAGAAAACTTTCACTCAGTGCCCAGCCAGAGGCAGCCACCATTTCATTACCCTCTTATATCAGGGCCTAAGCAAAGCCTTTTTGTAGATGAACACTTACTATACTGCCAAACTGATTTAAAGTTAGTAATCAGAGCAGCAACTGCAAACTCCTCCAGTCCCATCTTTAAAACCTGTGTCTCTCCCTGGGTGCAGCAGAGTAGTGAGGGACTGGGTGGTGAACACTTTTTCTCCCCACTGTGGAAATTCTCATTCCATAGGTTTCCATTAGGAAATGTTCAGCCTGCACAAAACTCCGGAAGAGTGTTTAAGAGATTAATGTAAAAGGCCATGATATTGAGAATGGCCTTTCTTTATAATGGAATTTTCTCCAGTAAAGAATATTGTGAGCACCAGTTTTCCTTGCCAGTCACTAGGTCACCATATTTCTCATGCCAGCCCTGCTCAGGCCGTTGTTAGCCTGGTCTCCTTCTTGCCTCCAGTCTTGTTTCGGGGCAGTCGCTGTCATTTTTGTTATCCTCAAGGAGCTTGAGTTCTGGTAACACAGCCTAAAGACTGAAAAGAGTTTTTTTCCCCTCCAACTACACTCACAACTGGCTATTCAATTGTTTAGTTTCACATACTGGAATAGTGATTCATTCTAATACATCTGACCTGCTTATTTCTAGCATTGGAAAATTGTTTTTTAAAAAAACCAGCCTATCATCTGCATTAACTCTTCCCTAAGTGTCTACAAGCAAATCCTGAGAGTCTCATAAAATTTAATGTATCAAAAGAAAGGCTCAGAAGTGCAGCTGCCTTGCACAACAGCCTTGCTGGACAGAGGCTGCTTCAGAAGTAATGATGAATCTACTCCCCCATCCCCCCGTTTTTTTTTGGCTTATTTGTGTTCCTACCAGGTAATAACGACTCAGACATTGACATCCAGGATGACAATGAATCCGACAGTGAACTGGAAGAGAGGCGGCTGTCTAAGCCGCGGACAGCCATGGAGGTGCTCATGCAAGGTATGATGGCTTCCTCCACTGGCCGTCCTCCCTGTGTCTGTCACAGAACACAATGGTCAGGATTGGGTCAGAGCTGCTTGGTATTGAGGCTGTAAGCACACTGTGGGTGGCCCTGCTCTGGGGTTTATCCTGCCCTGTTGTTTGTCAGAGTTCAGCTCTTAAACTGCTCAGTGGTCATCTTTGCCACTAATGCTCTTACATGTGGTTCCAAGAATGGCTGATTCTTATTTGTGGCTTGGTGTTTCTCAGAATTCACAAGAACACACTGCTTTTGCCACTGAGCTGTATTCTGTCCTTTTTATGTCCAAAACTGCTGTCAGAGCAGTTATATACCTTATGGTCAGAGAATTAATGTACAAAGAAGGGACTTACTCAAGCATCTCTGCCTTTTAAAAATGTTCTAATTTTTACTTTTTCACTGCACCAGATTCAAGCGATAAAATGTGTGGAGCAGATCTGGGTGGGTATTTGCTCATGTCCCGCTCCCCACCCAGAAGGCTCTTGGCCAGTGGCCTAAGAGTATGTCTTTCCAAATTGCTCTTACACACACACATACTCAAACATGGACACAGAGATCACCGGAAACGTTTTTTAACCTGAATGGGACCAGACTATGTATATGGTTCTGCAATCAGTTTTGTATTTTATTTTTATTTTTATTTTTATTTTTAGAGAGGGAAAGGGAAAGAGAAAGAGAGGGAGAGAAACATCAATGTGCAGTTGCTTCTTATGCACGCCTACTGGGGAGTTGGCCTGCAACCCAGGCATGTGCCCTGACTGGGAATTGAACCAGTGACCCTTTGGTTTGCAGGCTGGCACTCAATCCACTGGGCTACACCAGCCAGGGCCACAATCTGCTTTTCTTAAAAAATTAAATATATTGCCCTGGCTGGTGTGGCCCAATGGATTGAGTTTTTATGTACATAAGTATTAAATCATCTTCCTTTGATCATTTCATATTAACTTTTGTTGCTAACTGCTTTCTCTTATTCTAAGTCTGCCTATTTTTATTTATTACATTTCACCTTTTTATAGGATAGTTAGATACTCTGATTTTCTTTTCCTTTTATTTTTTAACAACTTCATGACATCAATAGAGGTTAGAGGTTATGACTCCCATTCTACATATGGGAGTCAAGGCTCTGAAAATGTATGTGGTTAGTTCAGTGGAACCCAGTAAAGGCGCCAGTGCTCCTAAATTCTCCTGCTGACCACTCGCTCAGGAGTGAAACAACACAAGATCTGCATTTTATCTGACCCAAGGAAAAGTTTTCATAAGTAGATCTTAGTGGTCGCATCCAGGCCTGTCCTGAGCTAGCTCCTCACTGAGCTGACCTCCTTGCCTTTCTCCTGAGGCCTGGACCTCACGACAGAGATGTTGACAGAGATGTTCCTCTCTCAGCCTTCAGGTGTGAGAGCAGTTCTCTTCCTCCACTCAGTGAAGGGCGCCTACTGAGTTTTTGCAGGAGTCACATCTGGACAACATTGACTTTCAAAGGAGGGATGGAGAATTACTCGGATAATAATGACATTTGGAAGATGAACTAATTGTGATATTTAAACATTTTTCTTTTTGAAATTCAGACATAGAGCTAAGTACAGGTGACATGGGTCCATAAAGGGAGAATATATTTCTTTTCTCAACTGATAGCATACCTGTTCCACTGGGTATACACTAACAATGGGATTCAGTGATTTTTCCCTAAGACATTTATAGGATGCACCCATATTTTTCTTATTTATGTTTCATGCTTACATTTTACTGCCCTTTCCCTTGTTTCACTGTGGAAATGCAAAAAGTCCATTACCATTTGTCAGCAGTTCTGATTAGTTGGATGCTACTTGAGTAAATTTTTTATGATTCTTCTTTTTCCCAATTTTCTAAAGGAAAGCCAGTTTATGCCTCACTATACAAGGTTTTTGTGATGTCTTCATGTTTTTATTCTCTCCAGGAAGACCTAACAAAAGCATCGTGGGCACAATGCAAGGTGGAGACTCTGATGATGATGTGAGTGCTGACCAGCTTCCGTCAGCAGTTGTATTCTTTCTGGTCCGGGGTCTGGGGCTGGCCTCAGTGACTAGATTAGCCAGGAACCAAGCATCTGAGCAGCGTAGTGTGAGGTGTGGCTTCTCGGCCAGGCTTGTCCCTGGATTTGTGGCGGAGTTTGGCCTCCCACGGAGCTGGACTCTATTCTTTGCTTGTTGATGGCTCATTTCTTTTCAAATGAACCTGCTTGCCCTACTTTTTTTTCCTTCTTATTTTCTGTCTACTCTCACTTTCCAAAGATGGAAGGACCACCAACTCTGTTAGGTAAAGGCAAGACCTCCAGCTCCAAGAAGCAGGTTGGTTTTCTTTTTCACCTCATCCATTTGTGCATGTGTGTGTGTGCGTGCACGCTTGCTCAAGGCCAGCAGAGAGCCTTCCCCAAGAACGATGCTTCTGTCTCGGGCAAAAAGCCACTCAAAATGGGCCCAGCAGTGAATGGTGAAATTCCCTAAAGGGGCCTGTGCTAAGGAGGAGGAATGAGGGCTGAACCAAGAGACAAGAAATGTTGTGGCTGGGGAGTCATCTGGCCCTTACACCGTAACCTAGAAAGGAAGGGCTGCTGCTGAGCGCCCGGGGTCAAGACTAGCCCTCTCTTCACCTCCATTCTGGGGAGGAAACATGAAAAGGAGGCTCTCCTGAGACCAGGGCCTTGGAGAGGCTGGGCAAGGGGCTGCAGCACCTTGAACATTATTAAGTGGATAACTGACTGAGATGTGAACCAGAATGGGGAAACAAGGGGTCCCTGCTGGAGCCCAGCTGTTGGGGCTTTTCCATCCATCACTCTGGGCCTGCCTTCTTCGTTGCAGTCCCTGGCAATACTGTGAGTCCCAAGAGGCAAAGAGGGACTAGATTGATCCCAGGCACAGACCTGCCCAAGTTGAATGCCACATGTGTCCAGAGTGTGGCACTAGTAGCTACACAGAGATGGGTATAGGCCTTATGTTCTTGTGCAAAAGGTCCATTTATTTATGACCAGCAGTGTGTACTGTCACAGACATTCACAGGAGAGAGAGGTCATTCAGGTGTGCTGGGCAAGATGCACCGAGAAGATAAAGCCTTAAACACACAGAAGGTGGTCTTTAGTAAAGTAGAGAAACCACCTCAGAAATTTTAACAAGGTAGGGGATGGATGGTTAAACAACTTCTGTCCATCTAGCTTACTCATCCAAGACAGAAATAAGGAAAGTCTGGTGTGGGAGTTGCCTCGAGAGCCCTGGCTCACCTCTTTTCTTATGATTTGCTTGATCATTTGTATAGCTCTCTACTTTTCAGAACAAAGGCACTATTGTAGCTTAAATTGGTTCTGTGTTGCATCTGTTGATGCATGTTTATTTCAGAAAGGCTGTTTTCATGTATCACCCCATAAGCGTGGGAGTTTGTCCTTCATGTAGTCACTCAGTCACTAGACAGATGGTTTTTGAGTGCCTGATATGTGCCTGCCACTATTATGGACTGTGGGGAATACAGTGAATAGAAACAAGGTTCCTAACTTTATTAAGCTTAGGGCCCAGCAATAGTGAGGCAGGTCCATCAGGGCTCATAGGGATAAGAAGAAAAATAAAGCAGGTTTTAGAACAGAGTGACAGGAATGAGGAATGTCTTTTGATTGGTCAGGGAAGACCTCTCTGATAAAGTGACATTTGGTCAGAGGCCTGAGTGGAAGGAGGGACACGGTGCTAGGGAGAGGCATTCTAGTCACAGGAAATGTGGTTTTTGCATTCGAGGCTCAGAGGTGACGGTGTGACCAGAATGGAGTGAATTGGGGGCAGGAGCAGCAGGAGAGGCAGCAGGGGCTGTATAGAGCTTTGCAGAATGTGGCAAGGACTTGACATTTTCTCTGAGTACAATGGCAAGGTGCAGAATCCTGAGCCCAGGAGTGCCAAGAGCTGACTCACATTTAAGAGAGCACAGAGAAGAGGCATTTGCAATAGTGTAGTGTAGAGATGATGGTGGTGGTAGCTTAGCCTTGGGTGGTAGCAGTGAGGTATTGAGAAGTGGTCAGATTCTGAACATGTTTCAAAAGTAAGCCATCAGGTTTTGTTGATTGGACATGGGGTGTTAAAGAAAATGAAGGATGTCTTGGTTGTGGCATAATTGTCCAAAAGCACAGTTTTCATCTCCTGAGCTGGGGTGGACCTGAGGAAGGGGCTTGGAGTACAGATGGAGAGTTTAGTTCTTGGATATTCTTAGTGTGAGTTGCCCTGCTAGGTGTCTACATGCTGATGCTGAGTTGAAATTCGACTCTGGAGTTCAAAGTCAGGTCTAGGTGGTCTTTAAGCATGAGGGTACGTGTGATTGCTTGGGGGAGAGAGAAGAAAGAGAAGAGAGGAGGCCCACAGACCTGAGTTGACTCCATAATGTGGAGGTCAGGGAGATGGGATAGGGTTGGGCAAGCGACACAGGACACAGGAGTAAGATGGGATGGGAACCCAAAGAGAAGGGTGCTCTGGAGGACGGAAGAGTGGATGCCAGGGAAGAAGGAGCCCGTAGGTAAACAGGAGGACGGAGAGTTACCCTATGGGAATTGAATGTGTTAAATGTGTCAATCTTGACAAGAGCGGATTAGAGGGGTTGGTGGGGTGAGAGCCTAACTAGAGTGTGCTTAAGAGGCAGCGAGAGGGGACACATAGGGACAGTGAGTTCAAAATTCATTCAAGGAGTTTTGTTGTGAGGGAAATAGAGAAACAGGGCAGAGTAGCTGGAGAGGAAGATAGTATTAAATTTTGAGAGTTTTTTTTTTTAAGAAGGAAATTACAGTATGTCAGTGTGTGTGCTAGTGGGAGTGATTGAGATAGAGTGAACAACCATCCTGGTTTACCTGGGATATAGGACTTGAAGTTTTAAAATCTGGCTGAATTGGTCACCCTAGATCTAGATGATGGAGGAGAGCGTTTCTTAAGTTTTGCTCCTTATGCTCATTTTCTGTGAGGCTTTCCATCCCCAATCTTCAAAAGCAAAATAAGCTCTCCTTTCCTCTTTCCAAGTCCCCACTCTCCCTACTACCCAGTGGTGGGTCTCTGGGCCACCACGAGCAAAGCTGCATCCAGCAAGCCTTGGTGCAGGCGTGGTGGTCCTGAGACATCTGTGGGAAGGCAGCCCCTGTGACACCAACCTTGGATTGCATGTTGGTATTTGAGGATTAGCAGTTAGATGATATCATGATCTCTGTATTTCAGCCAGCAATATCTAGATGTTTGGTCCATTTTTATGTCCCCACAGCCTGACTGCTTCTCTGCCAAGCCCTTCCTTCACATGGGGGTGTTGCTAGTTATTGAGCTAGCAAAAAAGTGAGGTAGGGTCTTGCTGATAAGGTGTCAGAAATGAGATGGGCCCTCAGTTGCATTTGCTGTCTTTTTCCTATAGGAAGACTCAGAGGACAGTGAAATTGACATGGAAGATGATGAAGATGATGAAGATTTGGAAGACGAGAGCATTGCTCTTTCCCCAGCTAAACCTACTCGAAGGGTCAGGAAACCTGAGCCCCTGGAAGAGAGTGACAATGACTTCTGACCTTCTTATAAGGGACCCATGCAGATTAAAACCCTCAGACTGGTAGGTAAATGGCAATGTAGAAGTTTAGGAAGGACACATATTTTGTTCTCCAAGCCAGTTGGGCTGACTGTTAGTGAAGTATTACCTATTATTGCTTTAGCCTACTATTTTCATGGAGTGTAACTCCATGAAATTTAAACAAGAATTTGTTTAAATTAGGGTCAGAACAAACCTTAAAGATTATTTTTTTGCCTTATTTATGTCCTAAAACTTGAGAAATGCATGTGTTCTTAGTGAGTCACACCCACAGGACAAAAACTCAAGGAGAAGTAAGTTTCTATGTCAGTGAGGCAGACCTGGGACTGGGCAGTGCACAGGGACTCATTTCAGGAGTAGTGGCAGACCAGTAATCACTTGTACAATTTAGAGGCTGTTATTTTAGCCCCTATTTCATTTTATAGTTTTATTTTTCCTTCTGCATGCTTACAATACCAAGCTTTAAATGTATTTTACTAAAATTTTCTGAATGAAAGTTAGCTAAATAAGATGAAAACCAAGTTTTCTTGATAATCAGGCAACAGAAATGCTCCTGGTTACAAAGTCTCCATTTTCTCTCAGAAGGCTAACATTCCTCCTTAGGAAAGCAAATTAAGGAAAAACTGTTAGTACAAATTTGTGTTTCTAACTTAAAAAATAAACCAGAATTGAATTATGTGGAGAACACTAGAATTTCCCTACTGTGAAAAGAAAAGTTATAGGTGGCATTGTGTTTTTTGTTTTTGTTTGTTTTTTGGAAAGCACAGAACAGTTTTTATTTGTTTTTCTTTTTTTACATTTAAAAAAATATATTGTCTTTATTATATTTTTCCATTACCATTTAGTCCCCTTATACCTCTCTCCCCTCAGCAGTCACTACACTGTTGTCCATGTCCACATCCTTCATTCGTTTTTCAGTTATAAAGTCAGAAGACTTCTGAAGTGACTTTTCTTAATAAATGTATTTAATAGCATATTTTTACATTATTAAATGTTTTACTTGAAAATATAATTTTGTTTATTTGCAACAATAATACTCGAGAAAAGTTCACAGATTAGTATGGTACATGTCAATTTTAGACTATGTGACAGTTATGTCATAGTTGCTTTTTTGTCTTATCTTTTCCTAATTTTATGTATAAGATTACCCCTTTTTTTAAACATTCGGCATTCAGTTAATCCCTCAGTAATTTGGAACATGCCATTTTTGAAACAATAAACTAAATGGGAAATAGATGTGTTGGGAGCCATGATAATCATCTCAAATTCCATGGCTTCCTAAAGTGCAAAAGACGGGAGGACTTCCGGTCAACATGGAGGCGTAGGTAAACATGCTTCGCCTACTTGTGCAACCACAGAAGGAATTACAATTAGACCTCAAAACAAATAACACCCAGAACCATCGGAAAATTGAGCTGTATAGAAGTCTGACAACCAAAGATTTAAAGAAGTCACATTCATCCAGACGGGTAAGAGGGGCAGAGACGTGGAGAGGCAGCAGTGGTGGAAGGGGCAGTCTCACATTCACATGTGATGGATTAAAATTGGTGGGGGATACCTTGGGAAGAAGAGATCCCAGTCACAGGCCAGACTGCAAAGCCCAGGGTTCCAGCTCTAGGAAGATAATCCCCATAACCTCTGGCTATAAAAACCAGTGGGGGGTTGGGTGGCAGAAGAAACTGCCAGATTTTCAGGAGACTCTGCTTAGAGGGCCTGCACAGACTTAGAACATACACAGACCTACCCCCTCTGGGATTCAGCACCAGAGCAACAGCTGGAAAGGCAGCAGTCGCATGGGGGAAGTGAAGTGACTGGAAGCAGGACAAGTGCTGGGCAAACCTCCCAAAGCCAGGAAGTGGCATTGCTCCCTCTCTGAGCCTTCCCCTCACACCGAGCTACAAAGTGATGCAGTAAGTTGCCCTGCCCTGGTGATTACCTAACGCTTTGCTTCACACAGTTTACAGGTGCCTTTTCTACAGCAGACCACACTATTGTGACAGGGAGTCAAAGCAGCTCTACCTAATACACAGAAACAAACAGGGAAGCTGCCAAATTGTGACAAAGAAATATGGCCCAAATGAAAGAACAGGAAAAAAAAAAACAGAAAAGAATTAAATGAAACAGAGATAACCAGTCTATTAGTTGCAGAGTTCAACACACTGGTAATGAGGATGCTCAAAGAACTCATTGAGTACAGCAACAAAATAAAAAAGACCCAGGAAAAAATGAAGGTTACACTAAGTGAAATAAAGAAAAATCTACAGGGAACTAACAGTTGAGGGAGTGAAGATGGGATTCAGATAAATTATTTGGAACATCAGGAAGAAATAAGCATTCAACTACAACAGCAAGAAGAATAGAATGGAAATGATAAGAATAGAATAGGAAATAGAGAAGCCAAAGAACTTATGTGCACCACTCATGGATATGAACTTAGGTGGGGTTTGCTGGAGGGAATGGGGGTAGTGGGTAGTGGGACAAAAAGGAAAAATCGGGGCAAATGTAATAATATATAATCAATAAAAATATTTTTAAGGAAATACATCACATCAAAAAATAAAGTGCATGAGTCACTGCATGTTCTTCGATGTTAGTAGCTTTGGTTCACCTGAGTCTAACCTGACTTATATTAAAAAAACAAAACAACAACAAAAAAAACTTAGCCCTGGCTGGCATAGTTCAGTGGATTGAGCGCGGGCTGCAAACCAAAGCATCGCAGGTTTGCTTCCCAGTCAGGGCACATGCCTGGGTTACAGGCCACGGCCCCCAGCAACCGCACATTGATGTTTCTCTCTCCCTTTCTTCCTCCCTTCCCTCTCTAAAAATAAATAAATAAAATCTTAAAAAAACAAAACTAAACTAAATGTTTTTCTGTTTTCCTTATGTGATGCTTTCTTCTAATGGGCATAGCATGGGAGTCCTACCCCAAGCTAAAGGTAAAATGTATGGAGATAGAGGCAACAGCTCTAATGGGTGATTTATTCTTGCACCTGCTTCTTGGTTGTCTTTGGTGCCTTAGTTAATTGACTTTGAGTGGTCTCACCATGGCGTGGCACTTCCTTACCTCAGTAGCTTCTGTCAACAAGAAGCTGCAGGTACTTGATCATAGTTACTAATGTATTTTTGTAACTGTAATGGATCCAGGAGTCAAATATTTATGACCAGGTGTCATTTGGTTTTAGCCAAACAGCAGAGCACAGACTCAGGCTCCAAAGAAGGCTGAGTGATTAGGTCCATAGAAAACTAGAGTTTAGGTCATTGCTGAGGTTTTTTGTTTGTTTGTTTGTTGTTTTTACTGTGTAATTAAAGGATCTCTTAAAATGCTTCAAAGTATGTGTATTGACAGAAAATATAAATTTTTAAGTCCTCAATTTTTATTGGTGGTAGCCATGAAGAACAAAGTCCACAAACTTCCAATAGGAAGTCTGAAGAACTGTTTCCCTTTCAGCTAGAACAGGAAGAAGGAATAAATGTAAAATGTTTTTCATTAGCATTTTAAACTATAATATCAATATCAAACGTCTTAAGGCACAGGTGGCAAACACAAGGCCCGTGGGCTAAATCCGGCCCTCCACCTTGTTTCATCTGACCCAGCACCTTGTTTCTACCCAGTGGCAGCGCCAAGCTCCTTGCCCCTAGGTAAGGAGTACTTACATTTATACAGTCCTAAAGTTACATTCAGCCCTTTGCAAGGCTGATGTGGCCCCCAGTGAAAGTGAGTTTGACACCCCTGTCTTAAGAGAAGATGTATCCCTTTAGGTTAGCAATATACTACATAAATATCACAGCTGTTAGATTGGTTCAGGGGAACTCTTGGGTGCCAGAATGCAGGACTGGTTGAACCGGAAGGGAACTAAAAGGTTCTACTTCCTACTCAGAGCAGAAGTCCTTCCAATAAAGATGTGACTGGAGGTGTATCATTAGAGAAAAATGGAACTGATGGAATAACCAATGTGTCTATGAGAGATAGTATTCAGATTTTACGCTTCTCTTGGACGGTTTGGAAAAGAATCAAGCATAGTGACCTAGAAAATTAAGTAAATTTTTAAAATAATACAACTGTTAACTTTTTTTTTAAATTATTGATTTCAGAGAAGAAGAGACAGAGAAACATCAATTTGTGGTTCCGCTTATTTATGCATTCATTGGTTGATTCTTGTATGTGCCCTGACTGGGGAGCAAACCCACAACCTTGGTGAACTGGGATGGTGTTCCAACCAACTGAGCTACCTGGTCAGGGCCACAACTGTTAATTCTAGAAAGAAGAATTATATAGGGAGAAAGTGATCCATACTAATAAAGTCATAAGATAAACACTAAATAATGATTCAACCCAAAATCATACTGTAACTATGTTGGAGGGAGGAAGACACAAAAAGTGGGGACATAAAGTGACACACACTCACACAAGTGCCATTTATTTCTCAATGTTTTTCAAATAGAAAGTCAATAGATGCTCTCTAAAATTAAAAAAAAAAAACAATAAATAGTGTATGTAGGGTACTTAGTTTTGGGAGTAGTGGTATTCAGAAAGGGGAAGAACAGGAAGGACAGAAAACTACTGTGTTCCATTATTAAGCCTAGTAGTATTTGGCTTTTTACACTGTGCATAGTATTATGTCTATTACTTTGATGGAAATGAACTTCTATAAAGATAAATACACAGACAGGGAAAGGGTAAGGGCTGGAATTTTAGGTTTGAGAATCATCTGCATGTAAGATTCCTCAGGGGAGAAGATGTGGGATAAGAGGAGAGCTAAGGGTGGACGTCAGAGAAACGTGTGTGTCTAAGGGGAGGGAGACATCCACAAAGAGCCAGAAAAAGAACCTGGGGAAGTATTTTCTAAAGTGACTATATTTTACTTTAATAATTAGGAAAAATGTGTTTAATTTCTCAAAGAGTGTTGAAGAAGAGTGGCAAGGAGAAGGTAGGATTGGAAGGTTGCAATGTTACAGACACCAAAGCAAGGGAGAATTTCCAAAGGAAAAGTGAACAAGTGCTAGATCCTTATAAATAAGGTTAAGTCAGAGAAACCACGGATGTTGGCATTTAGGGTATCAGGGACTTTAGCCAGGAAAAGTGAGACAGCAAGTGACGAGTTGAAGAGAGGTTGGAGTTTGAAGCCAAAATGGTGAGTATTGATGACTGTTCAGAAAGGGGATGGTCACAAGTAAAAAGAGAAGACAGAGCTGGCCCTGGCCAACATAGCTCGGTTGGTTGGAGCATTGTTCTGTAGCTCCAGGGGCTTGCAGTTTGAGTTCTGTTTAGGGCACATGCCTGGGTTGCAGGTTTGATCCCCAGTCTGGATGCAGAAGCATGAGACACTGTCTGGACACCTGTGACCCCTCGTCCAAGCACTGATCCCCAATCAGGGTGCATATGGGAGATGGCCAATCCATGCTTCTCTCTTGCATTGATATTTCTCTGTCTCTTCTCTTCCTTCCTCTCTAAAAGCAATGGGAAAAAATGTCTTCAGGTGAGGATAAAAAAAGAGGACAAAGCTGGTGGAGAAAAGCATGTTCAAAGAACATTTCGGAGGACCAGAGGGCTTTTTATTTTATGTGTGTATGTGAGGGAAACATATTTTTAGCTGAGAGGAACCAGCTCGTGGGATAGGAGGTGGTTGAATCAGAGAGATTGATGAAACAAAGTCTGCATTAGGAGCCATTCTGCTTAAATTCATACTTTATATTGAAAACACACATACCAGATAGCCAGTTGGATAGAAGCTACTATTTGAGGTAAGAAGGAAAAGGTTGATTTCACAATTTTTTACACCTAGATCTTTAGTGTTTATTGTTGGTGGGCCCAAAACAGCTTTCTTGACTTGGGCTTGAGGTAGACCCAGAACACTGAGGCATTTCCTCAGAAGATGGCCAAAGTAACCCTAGAATAAATGATGGCTTATCCTGGCTAACAAAACTTAAAAGCAAGTTTTGAAAGGATCCATGTTTCTAGTAATTGTGTCCCAAAATAAGCTCAAGTATTTTAGGGAATATAAAATAGTATCCAGCCCTTACTGGTGTGGCTCAGTAGGTTGGGGGTCATCCTGTGAAGCAAGAGGTCACTGGTTTGATTCCGGTGAGGGCACATGCCTGGGTTGTGGGCCAGGCCCCTGGACGGAGGCACATGAGAGGCAAGAGATTGATGTTTTTCTCACATATTGATGTTTCTCTTCTCTTTCTTCATCCCTTCCCCTTTCTCTAAACATAAATACTTTAAAAATAGCATCCAGAAA